TCGGTTACAAAGGAGGAGATATACATATCTGTATTGCCTAGCTTGCCTTCGATGCCAAGTAGAGTCCCATCCGGACACGGGACGAAGTCTTCAATCTCGTATCTTCATAGTCCAACAGTCCGGCCAAAGGATATAGTCCGGCCGTCCGGAGACCCCCTAATCCAGGACTCCCTCAGAGAGTCTCCTATATTGTCACTTTCATATACTAGTGGGAATTTTTCGTTATAGAACTTGGCTTGTATATTCCAGTGATGGGCTTCCTCAAAATGCCCTAGGTCTTCGTGAGCAAGGAAGTTGGATGCACACCCACTTAGTTTCTTTTGTTGAGGTTTCATTTATTTATAGCTCTAGTGCATCCGTTGCATGGAAATCCCTACTCCTTGCATTGACATCAATTGATGGGCATCTCCATAGCCTGTTGATTAGCCGCGTCAATGTGAGACTTTCTCCTTTTTTGTCTTCTCACACAACCTCCATCATCATATTCTATTTCACCCATAGTGATATGTCCATGGCTCGCACTCATATATTGCGTGAAAGTTGAAAGAGTTTGAAAAGGCTAAGTATGAAACAATTGCTTGGCTTGTCATCGGGGTTGTGCATGATGGGAGCATTTTATGTGACGAAAATGAAGCATGGCCAAACTATATGATTTTGTAGGGATAAGCTTTCTTTGGCTATATTATTTTGATAAGACATAATTGCTTGGTTAGCATGCTTGAAGTATTATTATTTTTATGTCAACATTAAACTTCTGTCTAGAATCTTTTGGATCTAAACATTCATGCCACAATAAAGAGAATTATATTGAAAATTATGTTAGATAGCATTCCACATCAAAATTTCTGTTTTTATCATTTACCTACTCGAGGACGAGCAGGAATTAAGCTTGGGGATGCTTGATACGTCTCCAACGTATCTATAATTTTTGATTGTTCCATGCTATTATATTATTTGTTTTGGATGTTTAATGGGCTTTATTATGCACTTTTATATTATTTTATATTATTTTTGGGACTAACCTAATAACCGAAGGCCCGGTGCAAATTGCTGTTTTTTTGCCTATTTCAGTGTTTTGTAGAAAAGGAATATCAAACGGAATCCAAACGGAACGAAACCTTCGCGAGGATCTTTTTTGAAACAAACGCAATCCAAGAGACTTGGAGTGGAGGTCAAGGAAATAACGAGGCGGCCACGGGGTAGGGAGGCACGCCCAGGGGGGTAGGCGCGCCCCCACCCCTTGTGGGCCCCACAGAGCTCCACCGACCTACTTCTTTCGCCTATATATACTCTTATACCCTGAAAACATTCAGGGGAGCCACGAAACCACTTTTCCACCGCCGCAACCTTCTGTACCCATGAGATCCCATCTGGGGACCTTTTCCGGCGATCTGCTGGAGGGGGATTCGATCACGGAGGGCTTCTACATCAACACCTTAGCCTCTCCGATGATGTGTGAGTAGTTTACCACAGACCTTCGGGTCCATAGTTATTAGCTAGATGGCTTCTTCTCTCTCTTTGGTTCTCAATACAAAGTTTTCCTCGATGTTCTTGGAGATCTATTCGATGTAATACTTTTTGTGGTGTGTTTGCTGAGATCCGATGAATTGTGGGTTTATGATCAAGTTTATCTATGAACAATATTTGATTCTTCTCTGAATTCTTATATGCATGATTTGATATCTTTGCAAGTCTCATTGAATTTTCGGTTTAGTTTGGCCTACTAGATTGATCTTTCTTGCAATGGAAGAAGTGCTTAGTTTTGGATTCAATCTTGCGATGCTCGATCCAGTGACAGAAAGGGAACCTACACGTATTGTATTGTTGCCATCGAGGATAAAAAGATGGGGTTTATATTATATTGCTTGAGTTTATTCCTCTATATCATGACATCTTGCCTAATGCATTACTCTGTTCTTATGAACTTAATACTCTAGATGCATGCTGGATAGCGGTCGATGTGTGGAGTAATAGTAGTACATGCAGAATCGTTTCGGTCTACTTGACACGGACGTGATGCATATGTTTATGATCATGTCTAGATATTCTCATAACTATGCATTTTTCTATCAATTGCTCGGCAGTAATTTGTTCACCCACCATAATATTTGCTATCTTGAGAGAAGCCACTAGTGAAACCTATGGCCCCCGGGTCAATTTTACATCATATTAGTTTCCCGTCAACTTGCCAATTTCTGTCGCTGTTTATTTTGCAATCTTTACTTTCCAATCTATACAACAAAAATACCAAAAATATTTATCTTATTATCTGTATCATGTCTCACTTTTGCACCGTGAAGGGACTGACAACCCCTTTATCGTGTTGGTTGCAAGGTTCTTAATTGGTTATGCAGGTATTAGGCGACTTGCGTGTAGTCTCCTACTGGATTGATACCTTGGTTCTAAAAAACCGAGGGAAATACTTACGCTACTTTGCTGCATCACCCTTTCCTTTTTAAGGGAAAATCAACGCATGCTCAAGAGGTAGCAACGTCTCCCAGAGAAGAAGAATGACAAGCTCAAACCAAAATAGGAGGGCCCCTTCATTATAAATGAAGTTCTCACTGGAGGGGCCTATCACTTTCGTAATGCATCGGATAATCGCCTAGAGCCGAATCCATGGAACGCTGCTCGGCTCCAAAGATTCTACGCATAAGTTCGGTCATACTTCTATTTCATTCTTTTTTCTCCTCTTCATTTTGTTCTTTATTTTTTCGTTTTTATACAATTCCCAAAATATGTTCGGATAAATTAACCAAACACTTGAGGGGTACACGTCCTAAAATGTACACACCTCACCATGACTGGAGGCTTATTTAACTGAAGCTTATTATTATTCCGAGCATGGAGCTCACAATATATGTGTTGTTTGCTCTTATATACCTTTTTTGACATTATATGCACCTCTATGACTTAAGTTTTTGTCAAGCTGGGTTGCCTTGCTTTTGTGTTTATGCCCTACGTTCCCGATTGTTCGGCTAGGGCGTACAGGGAGCGCCTCTGCGATTGTTACAACCGGGTCATCCGAACATGTACCTCAGACGGGTGAAGCCGAAAGCTTACGTTCTTAAAAGAATAATTGGTCGGCAACCAAACGACAGATTGTTACATTCTGGTAACTCTTTAAATAAGCAGACGTTTTTCCGTATTACGGACCAAAGCCACGGCGTGCATAATTTCAGCACGCTAGCCCAAGAAAATGAACCTTTAACGGGACGTGGTGTTTTGGTGCCCGAGTCCAGCTGATCCCGAAATCTGTGGCGTACGTTCCTGGCTCGGGGTCCACATAATTCGCTGTGGCGCGCCTGACAGCGAGAGGGAAAAAAAGGGCGTACGATGGAATACTGTACGAAACAGTTGCTCTTTCGTGGGCCCAAAACGTATGGGTTGGACGGCGTTTGCGCTCGATAACTCTGGTCCGTGGTCCAGATCATTAGAAGCCCAACTGAGCCAGGGATCAGATAAGGTGTCCCCGTTCTGAGTAGGTCCTGACGGCGGCGCTCGTGCTGCATCAGCGGCCACGCGAAAAAATGGAGGGTTCTGGGCTGAATTTCCTGCTCGACGCCGTTGACAGGTTAGTTCCGGCAGATCAGGTGGAAGTTTATTGTGATTTGTTCTGCAGCCGGTCCAATTGATGGAAGAAACCTGACGAACAGATCCTGGTGGCGGTCGTTGTTGTCTTCTTGCAGGTTCCCATTGCGAGAGGAGTTCGCCAACAACATCGAGCAGCCAGATCCGGTTCCTATGGCCTTCTTGCCCAACAACGAAGCTGGTCTTGCCGTTCATGAAGACTCGAATGCTGGGTCTGGGTGCGCTAAGCAGCTTGGCGGCGATGGGACTGGTAGAGAAGGAGTTAGTGTCCACCGGCGTCGGGATGCATCTCCGACGAGGTCGGCGCAGTTGACCGACCGAGTCATTCTGGAGGCACCTAGATGGACGAAAAGGTCTGCACCCAAACCCTCCCATTCTTGTGCTGTAATTTTTCAACTGTGACTGTCTTCGTCTCCTCTGTGCATCATTTTGTCAAAAAACTGGTTTGCTTTAGCAAAAATCCTTAATATTTTTTTGTCATATCTAAATGGCCCTATCTAAATAGTAAGCCGTGGCATTGCAGCCCTTGCTTAGAGGTGCCTTCTTTTAAAGTCAGGATCGCGTTCACCATCTTTTCAGAAATTAGTGTTGCAGATTAACTCGATGTCTGGATCAATGTAAATTATGTTGTAAGAAGAGGACGATGCTAGTGTTGGAACATCAGCCCAGGTGGGGGTGCGGATGGAGCGAGGTGGAGGATCAGGATCAGAGGCAAGGGATCTGGCCAGAAAACATGGCCTGAGCAGGGGCTTGTGCGGATAGCTTGAGATTGCCGAATACCTTGCTAAGTGCGGGATTCGGTATGAGGTGATTCTCAGAAGGACGAAACAGCTATGGCGAGTGGTTCAGGGAATCCACCAGTTGATCCTTCAGTAACGAGTGAGTGTGGGGAGAAGTTCCCTCCGCCAGTCGGTCTAAACCATGATGAGCCGTCAATTAGGGATGTTTTGTGGTTCTACGACAACATGATGGGCTGTTCGGACGGGAAGCTGCCGAAATAAGGCGTCTATCTTGTAAGTCTAATCGCAAGGAACTTATTGATATTTGTACTTATGAGCTGTTTTGTGATTTTTTCATCAGAAATTGGGTTAGCCACTTCAATCCAATTGCGGTGGTGTTGTCAGGACCAGGACCTTAAGGATGAGCTTGGGCCTAGAGGTGAGATTACAGTGGATGGCTGCAGGGGCATCCATCAAATGTTAACTGCGAAAGAGTTGATGATATATACCATGGATGGCTAGCAAGATGGAGAGAGATTTTGGATCCCTGCTTTGTGGTAACTATCTCTTTCATCAACATTTGGTTTGTAGTAGCTACGTTTTCGGAAAGAAACAACTGATTGGGTGTAGGAACTGCAGGAAGAACTTTGCAAACCAGATGATGAAGTTGACTGGGATTACATCTGTAAGATGATGGAGTCCAAGCTAATGGGAAACAAGATTGAGTGGCTGAAGAAGGTAATCCTGAGATCTTTGGATGTCTCATGCTGACGTACTACTATTGTAAATACTGAATTCAGTTTATGTTCCTAGTGCACTTCATGGGTTGCTGGTCCTTGTACATCCTGGACCCCGAGAAGGAGATCTTCACGGTCTTGGACCCAGCTGAGACACACCCTACTGATGAGATGGAAAGGAAGCACATCGCCAATGCAAAAAGATTCTAGCTTCTATTCTGCCAATGCTTCAGAGACATATTCGGTGGCTGGTTGGTTGAAGTGGAAGGATGGACTTTCCTGTATGCCTTTATGTCCCAGCATGATCCTTGCGCTAGGTGAGTTTATGCCAAGAGCAACTTTTGTAATGTAGTATAGATGATAATGGTCTTGAAATGATGATTTGTTGACAGGGAGGAGAGAAGCGTTTACATTGTGCACTACATCCATGAGTTCAATGGGCTCTACCTGCGATCTATCATCAGAGGATAAGTATCGGGCATCACATTTTGATGAATGTTGTAGTAACTTGTGATGAACATAGGTTTCATTAATATGTGACCTCATTTGTGTGCACAGATATTGTTTGATCACCTGCGGCTCGCATATGAGATCGTGACTATGAGAGGGAACCAGCGTGACCTGCCAAGAGTTTCCCGTGCTTTGAAACCGTAGACCGAGGGAATGAAGCGGAATAGTTGCAGGGTGGTCCTAATTTTTGACTCTGTCATGCGTGTGTTCCTTAGTGTATTTTTTCACTTTTGGTTTGTCGCCTCTGAATTTGTAACCCAAATGTGGGTACTGTAAACTGGACAATGGGTTTGAATTTGTAATGTCAAACCTGAAGTACTAGTCGAATGTTGAAGTCGAAGCATTTCCTTGAAACTTGGTGTTTAAACAATGCAAAGTGTTTTCTCCCTTAGGCGGTTTGATGTTAATGTGGGCAAGGTATCTGGCAACTGGCATGGCCTGATGGCCATATCAAAGCGTCATTGCAGCTATATATGTTTGACGCATGCTGCTCATTGTGGTGTATGTGTCTTATATAGCATGATATGTGGATGGTCGCCTGGCATTTCCAGACTTGGATGCCCTGGTATATGTGCAAGTCTAGCTGAGGATGAAGCAGACATGGCAGCAGATCAAGGATAAGAGTCGCGGCGCGGGAAAAGGTTTGTATGGAGTTTTGCCTGGAGAATCTGAGGAAAAGAGAATAAATATAGACGGATTGGGTGAGTGGCAGTTAAATCCACAGTGCAAGAGATGGCTCAGGCTTGCACGGGAAATCGCTGGGCGTGCATACACAGCCTGTTCTGCGTGCAGACTAACGCCTCCGTCGCATTAAATGCATGTTGGCCTGTTCATTGTTTAAAACTGATACGGGTAAAATACGGCTGGGAATACATTCCAGGACACGCATCCACACGCAAGCAGACGGGTAAGATTTCAGGAGCAGCTGAGTCTGGGCTCAGAAATGAATATTTGCCTTTAACGGAACTATTCTTCTTGGAAGATGTTTCTTACATATCTATAATACCTAAATAGCTCATCCCCATAATCATATTTCTCTTGACATGCAGTCTATCCACCTTATATGTGCCACATCAGCATTATCATCTTTGATTTTTCCAAACATTGCTTTTCTGATGAGAAATACTTTTTCATTTCTTAATCACACGCCGCCATGTTTTTTTTCTGCCAAAGGCCCACTAGGCCTGACCGCACCGCTTCCTTATGCACTTCGGTTTCCTTCCCGATTGATTTCCCCGTCAAAGCACGAGTCCGTCCGCTTCCCTCTCCACCTCCGTTTCTTCCCCACAGGATAATTTTTTCTCCAAACCTTGCGTGTGCGGCGGCCGGATGGTAATCTCCGCGTGAGGGCGCTCCTCCGGATATGAGCACCAGTCCACTCCCGCTATGACTCCCCTTCGATGCCTCTCAGGGCGATGGGATGTGGGCTGATCCATGGTTCCCTTGCCGCCCATCTAGAACGTTGACCAGCGCAGCCGAATCATTCTATGCGCATGCCGTCGCTCTTCTTCGGGCTCTCCTGGCGCTGGCGGCCTCGGACGAGTCACAAGCGGCCTCCCTGTTGCGGCCCCGATCTGGGCGAGTAGTTCCGGTTCCAGCTGGAGGAGTTGTCAACATCAAGGTCCGCGAGCCCAACTCGAAGATGCCTAAGCATCTATTCTCCTTGCTCTCTCTCGATTTGTTTTCAGTAGCAATAGTTCAGACTTCTGTGTAAACTAAAACAGGGAATTAATCGTTCTGCCATGTTCCAAACTAAAAACAGAGAAAAGTGGACAAATGATTGGTTAGCAAATATCATAGTTTTAAATAGCCGGCTATGGCTCCGGCTATAGCCTTTTTAGCATTGTGCCGCTAAATGGTCGTCTTTACAAATAGCCCGCTTTAGCCTACTATAGCTGATTTTGAGGGCCGCCGCTATTTTCCATAGACCGCTATTTAAAACATTGGCAAATATACATAGCCGCAGGCAAATCTATTTTTGGTTGCTGACTGCACAATCTGAACTATATAACTCTGGAAATATATTAGACTCTTTCTCTTGGGAGTTTAGAGCTGTTGTAGCGTTGCTATATGAATAGATGTCCAGCTCACTTGATTGTGTAATATAGATGTGTAGGTGAGACCTCAAACTGAACCATAATATCAGGTTTAGAGATGCAGATGCACATGGCCAATGATCTCAAACGTGTATGTGCTGTTGCAGCATACATGCAGTTCTGGTCGCTGACTGACAAATTCGTAGAAATACAAAATCAGTACGTACATTTAGAAAAAACGTGTTATTAGCTTTATCACCGTGGCATATCTGTAGTTCTGGTCATTGACTAACAAACTGTATAGGCCACTGTATACAAAACTACAAATATATTATGATGTGGGGCTACATGTATAGACATCATGTGCACATTTTTGCAAGCTTCCACTTTGATTCATGTGTTCACCTCTTTATCTTACCTTAGTGTAGATTGCCATCTCTGCAGAATGTGAAGTTAGTTGTGTAGTTTCTTACTTAAATTTGGTTCATGACCTTTCACACAAAATTCATGAAAAAATCCTGCAACAACGCGCGGGGCATCAGCTAGTGTAATATAACATTCATCCCGAACTAATTTTTTTTGTCTGTTCGAGCACAATAACTGGGTTGTCTGGTTTCCGGATGGAGTGAATGCTTCTTTTCATTCCAAACAGTATCCGGAAACTCTAACATTTTGGTTCGGAGGTTAAAGCCGAAAGCCTGCAATGACAATTTTTTCACATGTTCGGATAAAGGTACAGGTCGATCATAACGTACATTAATACATCAAATCAAATGTCTATTCCTTATCTATTCCATCTATAAGACTGTCTAACCTACAGTCTTCCTGCGAATACTTCGCAGCTATCATTACTTGGTTATACACCAAATTCATGGGAATTTCTTTCCCGTCTGGTCCCTATGGTCCTACTCAGGCCATATGATTTGGATCCAGCTTGGTGAAATACGTTTTCACCATGGCCAGGCTTCTCGTGTGCCTTCACGGCAGGCGGATGTCTTTCATAGCTCAAACCGGCGCCGGGCACCCTTGAACAAGTTTGCCAGGCCCTCCATACTTTCTGGAGAGGTATCAGATGGCCATAACGCCTTCACCATACTCCTCATGGCTTTCCGGGCCCGAGCATGTACCACGGATAGTTCCTTCAGCACGTCGCCTTGAAATTTAGATACTTCTTCCTCCGGTCGACCAGTTAACAGTACTGCAGCAACAGAGTCACAACGTACCGAATTATGAACTAAAGATAAAGCCCCTAGGGTGGTTTTCAGTAAGAAAGGAAGACATACCGAACATGCCGCCCTTTAGCCTCTCATTTTCTTTCTGCGCAGCCGATAACTGAGCCCTTAAGCTCTCTATCTCTTCGGATTGTTTGTCTTCTTTCACCTCGTGTTTTTCTCCTTGGAGGTGTTCATTGCGGCCTTTTTCATTTCTGCCAGTTTGGCGGTGACAGCATTCAGCTGCATTTGGTTTATTTCAGCTCCTGGGCTAGCGCAGTGTTCTTCTCTTTAAGAACCTGCATGTAGTATCGATCCTTAAATCGGTTTGCCTAACCGCTTCAAGTGTCGGGGGCTACTGGCATATGCCTATTAAAATTGCATAAACTTTTACCTGTATATCCTTTGAGAACAACAAAGTGACTCCGACAAGTCCGTCTCGAGCGGCTCGGATGTATGCATCCACCGAGCTGAGTGCGGTGAACTCTTGCTCGAAAAAGGCCGGAGCGCGCATGGTTGATACGTCTACAACGTATCTATAATTTATGAAGTATTCATGCTATATATTATCCATCTTAGATGTTTTATATGCATTTATATACTATTTTATATGATTTTTGGGACTAACCTATTAACCTAGAGCTCAGTGCCAGTTTCTGTTTTCCCCTTGTTTTTGAGTATTGCAGAAAAGGGATACCAAATGGAGTCCAATTGACGTGCCAATTTTTGATAATTTTTTATGGACCAAAAGAAGCCCCGGAGTAAAAGAGTTGGGCCAGAAGAGTTCCGAGCCGTCCACGAGGGTGGCGGCATGCCCCACCCCCTGGGCGTGGGCCCCTATCTCGTGGACGACTCGGAGACCCCCCTGGCGTGAAACCGATGCCAAAAATTCCTATAAATACAGAAACACCCAGAAAATAACCTAGACCGGAAGTTTCGCCGCCGCAAGCCTATGTAGCCACGAGAAATCAATCTAAGCCCTCTCTGGCACCTTGCCAGAGGGGGCCATCATCACTGGAGGGCATGGAGGAGGATCCCGGAGGGGCCATCATCACCATGAAGACCAAGGACTAGAGGGGGAACCTCTCCCCATCCAGGGGGAGGCCATGGAGGAGGAGCACAAGGGGGAGAGCCTCTCCTCCTCTCTCTTGGTGGCGCCGGAGTGCCATCGGGAGGGGAATCATCGCCGCAGTGCTCGTCTTCATCAACATCACCATCCTCATCTCTTTTACGCGGTCCACTCTCCCGCACCCCGCTGTAATCCCTACTTGAACATGTTGCTTTATGCCACATATTATGATCCAATGATGTGTTGCCATTCTATGATGTTTTGAGTAGATTTCCTTTGTCTTTGGGTTGATTGATGATCTAAATTGTCACGAGTTGTATGTTTTATTTTGGTGTTGTCCTATTCTGCCCTCCGTGTTGCGCAAGCGTGAGGGATTCCCGTTGTAGGGTGTTGCAATACGTTCATGATTCGCTTATAGTGGGTTGCTTGAGTGACAGAAGCATAAACCCGAGTAAGGGGGTTGTTGCGTATGGGATAAAGAGGACTTGATGCTTTAATGCTATGGTTGGGTTTTACCTTAATGATCTTTAGTAGTTGCGGATGCTTGCTAGAGTTCCAATCATAAGTGCATATGATCCAATAAGAGGAAGTATGTTAGCTTATGCCTCTCCCTTATATGAAATTACAATGACGACTATCGGTCTTGTTAACAATTGCCTAGGACAATTCCGCACACCGACCCATCATT